AAGCCTATATAGTTTCTGAAATGCTGTGAAACTTGAATAAACCAACCTAAGGAGTTCGAACAGTTACATTCTGTTATAACAATTTATTTTCCTTCAGAGCATTGTGAGTGCATCTGTACATGGTACATGGGTGTGTTCATGTATGTGTATGTATGTGTATGTACATGTGCATACAGGCAAAAGCCAGAGTTTGACATCTAGTGTCCTCCTCAATAGTTCCCCATGTTATTTTTTGAGATAAGATTTCTAATAGTTCGGTTGGTCACTGATTGGTCAGGCTAGCTGGCCAATAAGCTCTAGGGATATGCCTGTCTCATGCCTGGCCTCTTTGCTGGTTACCTGAGGCCCACACCACAGCCTCTGTCTTTTTTTGTTTGTTTGTTTGTTTCTCTGTGTGACAGCCCAGGCTATCCTGGAACTTACTCTATAGACCAGGCCTCAAACTCACAGATATCCTCTGGCCTCTGCCTCCCAAGTGCTGGGATTAAAGGCGTGCTCAGCTCCTGGTTTTAAAGTAGGTTCTGGGGATCAAACTCAGGCCCTCCTGCCTGGGCAGCAGGCACTTGACCCACTGAGCCACCTCCCCGCCCAGGCCCCTTCTCAGCGTGATGGTGAGACATTATCTTGCTCTCTTCTCTGCTTCCCCTCCTTGTTTACTGCTGTACTCACCACCCTCCACACACAACTTGTGTGTTCCATTGACTATTTGACCCCATAAAACAGAACAGTGACAGGGATATTCACAGTGATGAATAAATACAGGTTTGGCAAATGGCTGGGTTAATTATCTCTGCCAGGTAGGTTTCATTGTGACCTAACACTTCGTATCTCAACACAGTCTGGCACGAAGCCCCACTTAAAGCATGCTTGACCTTGAACTTTTTACTCAATTGCACCATACTTACTCAACTGCCCATATCTTCATCCAGATATCCTTTGGGATTTTTGACTTTCCTTTGGATTTTTATCCACACCATTTGACTGCCAATTAACATTTTACTTAGATAGAACCTTTAGGCATGTTCCTGATAACCTGAATGGATGGTTGCGGCCCACTGTTTTCTTCAGTTTCTCTGTTATGTAACCAGGTGCCCTGCCTCACTTGCCCGATAATTAGTGTAAATCCAGCAGCCTTTTAATAAAACTCATTTTTTAAGTCCACATGTTTAAGATTCCTGAAAATGGAGGAATGAGTGTTAATTATGCTTTGTTTTCCACAACAGGAAATCCTGTCATTTTCCAAAGACAATCAACATTTCACGTGTGTGCACAAAGCTAAAAAGCCAAAGGTGAGCCAGCAATTTTAATGCGGAAGGCTGAGGGTTGAAGGATAGGGATTGGAGCTGGGGTTAGTCCTCGATGGCAATGCACTGGTAAAAGGTTTTTAACTTTGCAATGAAGATACCCGATCCTCAGCTACAAAAATATTCATTTATTTTCATTTGGAGACAATGTAGTAATGTCCATAGTGGCCATAAACACAGGTGATGGATCTGAACAACACCAAAATTTGAAAGACATCTTAATGAGCTGAAGGAATTTAAAGTCTGAGGAGATGCTACCCCTTTTTAAATGAAATGTGATCAGAGAAAATCCCCCAATTCTTTTACAAAAAAAGTTTTCATGTGTACAAACATCTACTTATTCAACAAATATTGACTGAGTGATTACTGTATGTCATCACTAGAACACATCATTCTGGGGGAAAAAACAATTTAAATATGTGATCTGGAAATGTAGCTCAGTGATAGAGTGTTAGTCTGGTACTTAAAAGGCTCTGGGGTTCGATACCCAACACTATAAAAAAGAGAAAAGAAATTAAATGAAAAAATACATAACTATGTGTGAATAAGGGACAAGAGTGTGAACTGCTGTGAGGCAGGTTTGAAGAGACATTATCAATGTCAAAAAGAAAGATTATCCAGTCAAATTGCAAGTCTGTGTTCCTGAGGGCCAGTGTCACATTGTCTCCATGAATGCCAAGAACTAACTTCTTGTAGGTTATCATTATGGATTAGACATGTGAGCGAAAATAAATAAATACAATTCATATAACAGTGTTTCTTAGAATGTGAAAATAGGTGAGTTTTTATTTCAAATTAGAATTTTATGTTGTTTTTGTTACTGTTTCTTGAATAAAGAAAAGAGGAGGTAAATATTCAAGTGGAAATAAGAAATGTCAACAGGGTTTTGTAGTGTGCTTAAGAAATGTCTATATAGACTGTGAATTTTGTAAAAGAAAGACAAAAAATTTAGTTTATCTCTTATTTGCTGCACTTCTTGCTTTTATTTTTCCTACATATCTTAGCTTACATTCATATTGTGTGTAAGAGAATAAAATTAAGTTTAAATGCTTTGGGAGACTTTTTTAACCCTGCAGCTCTCGATATTTGTGTTGTCTGCTCATAATACCAAATGCCATGCTTGGAGGATGGAAGATAGAATACACATAAAGGCAGATCTATATTTAGTGAACTGTAAATCTAGAGAGAAGAAGGTTGTGACTGGAGCAACTGAGGAACCAGACAGCAGTGACAAATTACGATGAGAAAGAGGAAAGAACCAATAGAAATGCCTTAACTGTGACTACAGGAAGGGGCATCATCCTCTGGTCTGAGGCTCAGGATTACCCACCCCAGAGGTGTCTTCTAATGCTAAATGTACAGTTTCATGAAGTAGTAGACCTGTGTCATAAAGTAAGCCTGGCCCCTTTTGGTTTATAGGAATAAATAGGACTCTTTCATAATTAATCCAGATGCCTAAGACTCAGAATATCTGGAAATTTAAACAACTCAAGCTAACTACTATGCTTAATTACTTAAGGTTTACATTAATTTAAAAAAAGTGTACTATCATTCACTCTGTCCTTGGAGCTCACAGTTACACATTCAATTTAATTTACCTGATTAAAATTTTCAAACGGATACATTTAATTGTGGTGATATTGTGTTCCCCAATATATTGTACACCCTAATAAACTTATCTGGGGTCAGAGAACAGAACAGCCACTAGATATAGAGGTCAGAAAATGGTGGCACACACACATTTAATCCTAGCATTCCGAAGGCAGAGATCTGTCTGGATCTCTGTGAGTTCAAAACCACACTGGAAACACCCAGGCAAGGTGACACACGTCTTTAATCCCAGGAAGTGATGGCATGAAGCAGAAAGGTATATAAGGTGTGAAAACCAGTAACTAGAGTCTGTTAAGCTTTTAGGCTTTTAGCAGAGGTTCAGGTGAGATTCATTCAGATGAGGACACAGAGGCTTCCAGTTTGAGGAAACAGGATTGGCTGAAAAGTTGGCAGGGTGAGGTTAGCTGTGGCTTGTTCTGTCTCTCTGATCTTTCAGCATTCACCCCAATACCTGGCTCCAGGTTTGTTTTTATTAACAAGACCTTTTAAGATTCATGCTACATTTCATTTCTAAGAAAATGGAATGAAACTTTACTGGAAGGGGTGTCTCTGTACATGTTTTTTTTCTTCATTAAGCTGAAATTATTTATTCAATTGTATTATATTGTTTCTGTTTATAACTAAGTAAAAACACTGAAATAAGGCAATAGGGGAAGAAAACACCCCTCAACTCAGCTTATAATAGATATGGGTAAAGGGAGGACGAGGTCAAACTGATGCTATACTTTGCTGGAAGACTGAGTTATCTATCACCCTCTGCCAGGAAGAAACGAATCTTCAGCTGAGGTAGAAGCTATGCAAACAGCAGCAGCCATAGCTGAATAGTTTGCTGCCTGTGTGAAATCATTTGAGGATGTAGGAAGAGACATTTCAAAATGCAGCATCCTTTCAGTAAATTGACGAAGAATTCAGAGCGAAGTAGATAGCAAGGAGGAAAAGAAATTAAACTATGTAAAAGACGTCAGAGGGACCATGGGCAAGCAAACACCTGCCAGCAGGTCCTGTATGGTCCCCCTGCTGAAATCTGGAGACTGGATTCTCTTAAGAAAGCAGAGGGGCAGGGATATGAGCACGTCTAAGACAAATGTCAAGTGCCAGGGGCTTTGAGGCAGGATGCTTTACTGGCCAAGGATATTTAGCAGAATTGCCTGCTATGAAATTATGTAAGTGCTACCCTAATGGTAAAACAGGCAACAGTCCCCTCAATATTCCTGCAGTACCCACTTGGCTAGCTCTGTGTCGTGCTCCTGTAGCTGCTGCCAGTATAAGCCAGGGTAATTCTTCAAAGGCCACATGTTTAGAGCTAAATGATGACATGTTTATGGCAATGTGACTGAAAGGACTCTAGGAAAGCAGCCCCCTCCTGCATATAGTTCTTTTGCTGAGCAAAACCGCACTCAAAATTAAAGAATGTCATTGAAATTTAGATTTTTTTTAAAATCCAAGAAATTCATTTTGAAGTGAAATGTGATCTAAGGGAAATCTATTGACATGAGTTCTATAATTACTTGATTTTTTTTCCTTCAGTGACTAGGACTAAGCAATCTCAGGTCCACCTCATTTGGAATCTTCAATTTAAAAAAAATAAACTGACTTATATTAGATGTAAAAATTTGAGTGCATTCTAGGTCATAGTGAGAAGTGGTCCCTTTTAATGTAGGATTATAAGCATCTGATTTAGCACCAGATCTAATAAATTGCTATTATTATATTTGATGTCACAGTACGATATACTATATATCTACAGGTATTTTTACCCACGAGTTTTTATAAGGAATCAGTTCACTTAAGTAATATGTTTGGCACTTTCCTACGGTTAAGATGAAGCATGAACTTTTGCTCTTTGACAGGATACTCACGATGAAACATCCCTTCACTTGAGTTGAAGATAAGAAAGCAGGAAATGAGCCCCGAATCTACTCTTTCACCACAAGTTATTATTATTTTTGTTTTTAGGTTCAAGTCCACGTATCTCTGAACATCCATGAAAGGGCTTCCTGGAAAACAATACAAAACAAAACAAAACCCAAGTGTCCTGATGCACATGGCTCCACACCAGCAGGAGAGGGGGGACCCTCTCTGGCAGGCACTGAAATGATAAGAGTGGACACTGGTGAGTTCTGCAAAGTCACTGAACTCAGAGCTCGCTGGTAGTTCAAGGGCAGCCATGCAGGATGAAGATGGATACATCACTTTAAATATCAAGCCCCGAAAACCAACTCTCAGCTCAGGTAAGAAAGGTCATTCAGCAATTTGGACATTAGGAGGTCATTCCCTCTATCCCCCTCTCTCTCCGAGTGACAGGGGACTTGATTTTATTTGTGTTTTCCTGAATGATATTCTTTCTCCGAAGCATGTAAGTAGGGCCTACAGAGGCTTCTGCAGACATAATTAGAATCCAGGCAGAAAAGGTAAGAAGAGAGGACGTTATACTAAGACTATTAGAATGTAGTGCTGGGGCTTAGAAGTTAGTGAGACAAAGGGAAGGACACTTTGAAAACTCAAATGTCTGACAAATGTCTTCACATTTTAAATCCTATTGGTCATTCATATGATAGGAACTGGGCATGACTACTATTCACTGAATACATTGCATGATTTACTTAGAAAAAATGAGTTTTTTTTTTTTAATTCTGGAGGGAAGGGTTTTACAATCTGGACTCTTTCATTTTTCTTCTGTTTAAAATGTTACAAAATCATTGGCTCATAGTATTATTCAATATGTAAACATTTTGTAAGTAAACATTTATGCAAAACATAAAATAAAATGTATTTTAACCTTTAAAAAAGAACCCTCAAATTTCTGAACACCAGACTATACAATTCTCTTCTAGTCTCCTATGAAAGTAATTGTTTATGTGAATGAGAAAGAGAGAGAGAGAGAGAGAGAGAGAGAGAGAGAGAGAGAGAGAGAGAGAGAGAGATGGCCTTGGCAGTTATATTTTAGAATCTACAGAGAATAATCTATGGGGAACAGAGATGGATGGTGTAAAGCAGGGCATTCTCACTAAGGGTGGTCACCAAGGAAATGCAGGCAAAATAACCATCAACACCGGTTTTTTTGTTGTTGCTTTAATTATGTGTGTGTATGCACGTGTGCACAAGAGAAGAGTGCCCATGCTTGTGTGCATGTGTGAGTGTGTGTGTGTAGGTGTACATGTGCCATGGTGACCTGTGGAGATCAGAGGACAGCTTTCAGAAGTAGGTTCTTTCCTTTCACCCTGTGTTTTAGGAATCAAACCCAGGTTGTCAGGCTTATGTGGTGAGTACTTTACCTGCCAAGCCATCTCATTAGCCCAAGTTTAGTTGGGCTTTGAGACAGGGTCTCATGTAGCCTAGACTGGCATTGAATTTGCTATGTAGCCAAGGCTGGCTTTGAACTCCTGATCCTTCTGCCTCCGTGACTCAAGTACGGGGCTGTAAGTTTAGCTTGCAATTCTGGTTATGATACTTGGAAAATCCTGAGAAGCCCAGGATGGCCTGGCTGTCTTCTCTTTCACGTCTTCATTGTGCTCCCACAGCTGACTCTGCTTCTTCTTGGTGGCGTCTGATGGCTTTAATTCTGCTGATCTCATCCATGGGGCTGGTTGTTGGGCTCGTAGCTCTGGGCATCATGTGTAAGTATTGGCTCCTTGCCAGGCCTTTGATCTGAGGAAAGCAATACCCAGGAGTTCCTGGCATATTATACTAAGCTTCCTAATTGTCTCATCTGTTTGTCACCTACTCTAATTGTCCTGCATGCAGCTGTGGATACAACCTTAGCAAAGGAAAACTCAGAAAAGGGGAGCTTGCCCCTCTGATTTGAATCACTATTAATTTTTCCCTTAGTTACAATTACTTTCAGAATATACTTCAGGCATTTAAGATGCTTAGTATGGATCCAAGCTGTCTTTCTTTCTCCCCCTCTGCCTTGTTTAATCTAAGGCCCAGGCAATCCAGACTTGGCTAGTTTCATCAATAAAGCCTTTGCCTTCCTGTGTGGAATCTTGTTTGTTCTAATCTCTATACTTAAAATAGCTTCCATCCCATTTTATTTACAGACACATTGGTTTTCTGGCCATGAATCATGAAACTTTATAAGGTCATGCCATAATTTGTGTTGCTAATTCATTTATTTTCTTGTTTTTAATATATTTTCAAACCTTTATTTATTATATTTTATTACAAGGATAGAAAAGCATTTTAAACACCATGAAAGAAAACATGTATTCCTAGCCAGGCGGTGGTGGTGCACGCCTTTAATCCCAGCACTCGGGAGGCAGAGTCAGGCGGATCTCTGTGAGTTCGAGGCCAGCCTGGACTACCAAGTGAGTTCCAGGAAAGGCACAAAGCTACACAGAGAAACCCTGTCTTGAAAAACCAAAAAAAAAAAAAAAAAAAAAGAAAGAAAGAAAAAGAAAAAAACCATGTATTCTTTTTTCATGTTTTAATTAATTACCTAAAAAATTTAAAACATTTTCATAAAGAACTTAAAATAAGAAACCCTGCAGCCAAACTAAGCAGACTGAAAGTTTATGCATCTCAGTGAACTTCTTGTACAGTTAGGATGGCCATCCGACCATGCGTTCTTAGATGAATTAATTCAGTATTATATGTAGAACAGAATACAAATGCAAGGCTTCTCTCATCTCTGTGAAGCCTGCTTAGGAAATATCACAACAGTTGTCTTAGTCACGTGTTGTCTCCTTGGGACTTTCTCATTGTCAGTCGATTCACACAGCTTTTTATGGAGCCCTCACTTGGTTCATTGTATTTCATTTTTCACTATTCATTGATTTTTGTGCAGTCCTCACTTGGTTCATTATATTTCATTTTTCACTATTCATTGATTTTTGTGCAGTCCTCACTTGGTTCATTATATTTCATTTTTCACTATTCATTGATTTTTGTCTATCTGGTGAACTCTTCAACTACTGGCAGGTTTATTATAGAAATGAAAGTTCACTGAAGAATCATGCCATCATCTTTCTGACTCGAGACCCAGGGCTAATTTATCTCATCTTTACATCTAGCCGTTGCACAGCAAAAGTACCTACTGGCGGAGAAGGAAAGTCTCTCAACCACTCTGCAACAACTGGCCAAGAAAGTCTGCCAAGACTTGATTAAACAATCAGAGCTCAAGACAAAGAGCACATTCGGTAAGTCTGGTTTGGAAACTTTGTCTCTCCAAGCTCCATGTGTCTGTCATGGTAACAGGAGGAAGGCCCACTAGAGCAGGAACGCTGCACCTAGGGGAAGCTTCAGCCATATTTTCACAGTCCCAAACTCGGTCTCCCCTTCAGAGCACAAGTGCAGCCCCTGTGCCACAAACTGGAGATACCATGGAGACAGTTGCTATGGGTTCTTCAGACATAACCTAACATGGGAAGAGAGCAAGCAGTTTTGTGCTGAGCAGAATGCAACGCTTGTGAAGGCTGCCAGCCAGAGGACTGTGGTAAGCAGGGTTCCACATCAAGCATTGGTGAACTTTTCAGGAGAAAGCTCTCAAAGGAAACAATGAATCTACTTTTCTCGTGGGTTTCTTAATGGCTTGCACTTGGTGCTCCTCTGAGAAATTTAGGAAGCTTGGTAACAAATATAGAGCTTAAATATTCAATCCAGTCACATTTCAAAGTATCACTAGAGTGTTTCAGTAAGATTGGATTGTATATGTGCCTCCCTAGCAGCAAACGTAGACAGTGGGTTAGATAGCTTGAGATGCTCCCGTTACATTGATTCCAGTCTGCATGAGTTTCTGCCCCTTGCTGTTTAAAATTAAGTTAACGAAATAAATTTATTCAGTCAAAACAGGGGAGTGTCCTAGCGTGTCAACTCCACTATAAAGAGATTAACTGGAGACATGAAATATGCCATGATTCTCATCACTACAGGCCAATATCACTTGAAAATCTGTAGCATAATAAAGAAGTAATATTACATTTTGAGAAAAAAAACTAAAGTTAAATATCAGTTGGATTTTTCCTTCAAGCCCAACAAAGAGGCATCTTGGATGGATATGTGTCTCTATGGATATGTTTTAAAGAAAAGATCAGTGACTGATGGATTAGTGGAAAAATGGTGGGTGGCTCACACTTCAGGGAAGTGAGACTCACAAGTATTTCCTTGTGGAGTGTTATTCTGAGTATCTCATGGCTGTCCACAAGCTCAAACAAATTTGTTGTTATTGTTGTTGCTGCTTTCCAAGTGTGAGTTCTTATCTGCTATTCTGGGTTACATGAGGGCGTAATGAACAGTTGGCTTCCTTTTACTTTTCTTTCCAAGAGACTCAATCTGTCTGTACTGGAACCACTCCACGACCTGAATCTATGTACTCAATAAAACCAAAAGCCTGAACTTGAAAAAAAAAAGTAGCTGGACAGTCTTTAACTCCAGCACTTGAGAGGCAGAGGCAGGCAGATCTCTGAGTTTGAGGCCAGCCTGGTCTAAAAATCGAGTTCCAAAACAGCCAGGGATAGACAGAGAAGCTCTGTCTAAGAAAAAAAAACAACAACAAAAAACCTATAACTTGGCACAAAAAAGTAAATCAGAGATGTGGTGGTGTATGCTTATATAGTCATAGCTAAGGCTAGGATCACACATTTAGGGCCAGCCTGGCTACACAGTAAGAATATATCTAATATTCTATATCTGATATATAGAAAGAAAGCATAGAAAAATATAAATTCAGAAAGGTAGATGCATATTATTTACTAATTCCTTTGAGAAAGACATCTATTTATCTATCCAACTAAAAGAAAATATTTCCATGTATAAAATAATCAATAAAATTCAAGAACTTAATTTCAGGGATTGTGAAGCTCATCAACAGCATATTGCCTCTTGTTGTGTTCACCCTCTTGAATCATATTTGGACGTCTCCTGGGACTCAAATCTTTAATTGGTAGGAAATATAAAAATACAGTATAAACACATAGGAAGACTACAATATTATCTGTTTAATTTCTCATGTGCTGTATAAACCTTTTAATATCTCAAAACAAATTAGCAAAACCCCTGGACATGAAATATAACTCATTAGTATCAACTTAGATGCACAATTCCAGGTGTTTGCTCCAGGCTTTGTCGTGAAGTTGTCACTGTCCTTGTACAGTGCTGTGGAGGCATTTACCATTGTATGGATTTGTTCGCAACAGGAATACATCACAAACAGGATCACTTCGGTCCGTTGGCTTGGATTATCTCGCCAGAACTCTAGTAAGGACTGGATGTGGCAAGATAACTCAGTTCTTCCCAAGCATATGTAAGTCTCTAGAAGTTCAGCTGGAAGGCATTACTCAAAGCTTTGACTCATATACTTCTTGTTGAACACAAGTTGCCTGAAAGTTGAGGTTTCTCTCTGCCCTACTGTGGGTTGCAGCTGCCAATCACTTGTACTCTAGTCCTAACAAGAGAGCACTGGTAGGCAATTCTACTCTCTCCTCCCTCTCAGCCCCTTATGTAAGTCATGATCCATTTTTTATTACCAGTATCTTCCCCATTCATTTCTATGACCAATTTCTCTCTCTCTCTCTCTCTCTCTCTCTCTCTCTCTCTCTCTCTCTCTCTCTCTCTCTCTCTCTCCTCTCTGTACATTGATCTGATTTTTTCATGCTTTGAAAATAAATTTATCCTTTTCATTATTTTATGGTTGGAGTGATTACCATCAAGATTATTTTCAGTATCTTTTTGTCCTCTGTATCTCTACAAATCAAGTACATCATAGATAACAAGGCAATTCTAATGTCATACAATGAGGTTCCACCCTTCTAATGGCATTGTAGGCAAATGACCTCATTCATTAAGAGTTGTGTTATTCAATATGGCTCTGTCTCTCTCCTTAATTTTTAATTTTTAATTTAAAATTTAGTATGTGTGTGTGAGAGAGAGAAAGAAAAAGAGAGAGGAAGAGAGAGAGAGAGAGAGAGAGAGAGAGAGAGAGAGAGAGAGAGAGAGAGAGGGAGAGAGAGAGAATTCACATGCTACAGTGTATGCGAATGTACCACCATGTAGATCCTGGAAATCAAACATAGGTTAACAGACTTGGAAGCAAGCACCTTTTTTCCACTGAGTCATCTTGCTGACTCTCAGTAGGGCCCTCAAACCACTAATTTCAACATCTTTTGCTTATCCTGCACAACATTGTACTCTCTCTGTCGAGAACTTATTACCAAAGTTTATACAATTCTACCATTATTTAAATAGCTAATTAACCCACCATGTACTTATTATTTACTTTGGACAGAATCCCAGGACACGCAAATACACACAAACCTCCTGAAACCCTTGGCCTTTATCTCTTATTGCTCACAATATTGCAGGAAAGTGGTGTTCTCTCTAGTTAAATTCCCCTTTCCCTCCTAGATTCCTCAACCAACTCTTCTTTGTTGGTCCAGTCTATTTGAAGGCCGCTTCCTCAGCGAGATCAGCTCTTAAGGGTTCACACTTAATCCTGCTCCTTTCTGCACACACCTGCTCTGTTGTTTCTTTACTATTCTATATCTTCACAGCTCTCACTAATTTCTGACATTTTCCCGTCTGCTTATCTGTGGGCATCTTACCAATTTCCTCCTCACTGGAGTTTGGGTTTTAAAAAAGAAGAGAGCTTGTCTTTCTTTCTTCCTCCTCAATCACTAAACCATTGATCACGTGTTGGTGTCCATAGGTGTCTGCCAAGTAGATTCAGCACATTTTCCTTGTCTCTCATTGTACACAGTGATTCAGGGAACAGAGACAAACTTTGGGACAATAACTATGCAATATTCTAGTGTATATCTATTACCTGGTGCCGTTAGTTCTCAGCTCTGCAGTATTTAGCCCATCTCGCTTCTTGTTGTGCAGCTAGCTTCTGGCTCTATAAGAACTTCCCATTTCCTCTTTCCTTGTGTAAAACCCACTCTTCTCTCGATACTGATCCCAAGTGAATTGTACATAAAGCTTTGCTTGGCATGTCAGAGGATGATGAGCCTTCTCCTCTGGACGCCCTCTGTACTTAGCATTCATTGACTTTCTCCCGACTTACACTCTATTAAACTGTTACTGGGCTTCTCGTGTGTACAGACTGTATACTCATAAGGGAACAAAGAGTTTTTCAAAGATGAGAATGATGTTTCTTTACCTACCCCAGCCTAGTTTGATCAGCAAAACATACATGTCCCTTGCTTCCTTATGTAGAACAATTCAGTTCTACATATCAGCCACGGATTCCCTTGTTCTCCTCTCTCCTGCCCCCCTCACCTTCCCCCCAGCCCACCTCCCATTTCCACCTCCTCCAGGGCAAAGCCTCCCCCACGGACTGAGATCAACCTGGTAAACTCAGTCCAGGTAGGTCCAGTCCCCTCCTCCCAGGCCGAGCCAAGCGACCCTGCATAGGCCCCAGGTTTCAAACAGCCAACTCATGCAATGAGCACAGGACCCGGTCCCACTGCCTGGATGCCTCCCAAACAGATCAAGCCAATCAACTGTCTCACCCATTCAGAGGGCCTGATCCAGTTGGGGACCCCTCAGTCATTGGTTCATAGTTCATGTGTTTCCATTCATTTGGCTATTTGTCCCTGTGCTTTATCCAACCTTGGTCTCAACAATTCTCGCTCATATAAACCCTCCTCATTCTCCCTAATTGGACTCCCAGAGATCCACCCAGGGCCTAGCCATGGATCTCTGCATCCAGATCCCTCAGTAGTTGGATGGGGTTTCTAGCATGACAATTAGGGTGTTTGGCCATCCCATCACCAGAGTAGGTCAGTTCGGGCTGTCTCTCGACCATTGCCAGCAGTCTGTTGTGGGGGTATCTTTGTGGATTTCTGTGGGCCTCTTCATGAACCAAAATGTCCAAGAAATTTGGGACACCATGTATTTATACTTTTAAAAAACATGCACTCTGCCCTTTTCATTTGCAGGATTGATCTTTCTGGGAATACAAGAGAAAACATGAATTGTGCTTATCTCTATAATGGGAAAATCCATCCTGCTTCCTGTATGGACAGACATTATTTAATGTGTGAGCGGATGGCTGGCATGACAAGAGTGGACCAACTGCTTTAATGCAGAAGGATGAACGGGATGTCAGATAAGTGCTTGGTCCTGCAATAAAAGATCTGGACGAAAGAATTTCCCGGTCATAAAATGATTTATTTTGTTTTTATGACTTCCTTATATCACATATCTGATCCTTTCTCTGCATACCAAAACCCAGTATGTGAGCAGCTCACCAGCTGTTCAGTTTTTCACTTTCTGTTAACTTTATTTTCATCTTCCATTCCTAATTTTCTTAGTATACTGTATGGAATCCACTGCATCTTCAAATATGCACACAGAAAATTAAAATTAGATTATGGCACAAAGGCTCAACACTGTATAAAATATCTAAGTTAAGAAAGACATCATGGGATAGTAGAAATAACACAGATTGAGTCTTTACAATAGTTTAAATGGTACAAACCCTTCACAGAAGAGCTATCATGAAGCAATTCTAGCTATCTATTTATTTTTGAGACAGGGTTTGATTATGGAGCCTAATCTGTCCTAGAACCCACTATGTAGACCAGGTGACTTCCTCTGCCTTCCAAACGCTAGGATTAAAGGCATGTGCCTGGCTACTGAGACAATTTTATATTTTGTTTAACTTCCATTTTCTCATACTTAAAATAAGATGATTTGGGGGCTGGAGGATAAACCAAAGGTTTTTTTTTTTTTTTTTTTTTTTTTTTTGTGTGTGTGTGTGTGTGTGTGTGTGTGTGTATGTAGGTGAATACTAAAATAAAGTAAAATGGGATGATATTTCTTATCTTACATACCTTATCAAAAATAAACTTCAGTTTTATCTTATTTATACAATGACCACACAATTTAAATTATCTGTATTATTTATATGCTTATGCTTACAAGAAAATTTCAGAGTACTGATACCAGAAAATCCATGGAAATAGTCCCATGACTTCATTGTTCATTGTCTGTGATCAGCACCAAGTACGTCCCTGACTCAGGGGAAAAAGAAACTGTGTACTCTTCATCCTGAGAGACAACAGTTGACTCTCCTCATTCACCTTTCTTTACTCTTAACAGTGGCCACCCTCTGTACAACACAAGGAAACTGGACTTGAGAGAGAGCTGACAGGGTTTGTAAAACCAATAAATAGCTATTGACAGCAGTGTCCAGAAGGCAGAAGAAGAAGCAGAAGTGTTTTATCTGGTTCTTTTCCTGATGGTTCTATGTTTGGTGTTTGCTGAATAACTCAGAAGTATTTATAGGGCCTGTGAGGAAGCACCTCTAACAGGATAAGGGGCAAAAGTCATACTATCTCCCCCCACAGCTTCCTTTGTTTAGCTGGTGAGAAAATAGGATCATGAATACAGTTCATCTCAGCTGAGGTCTTTGTGGAAACTGAACATGTTCAAGCACGAAGACAGATGGAACTCAGAAGGCCGAGGGGACAAGGAAATCTGTTTTTAACACACACTCTCTGTGTCCCTGTTGTAAGCAGTCAGCTCCTAGTACCTGTCAATAAACATTACTTTAGCACTTACTCCCTATGTGGTTTGGGGCAAATGTCTTTAACACTGTTTCCTGGCCTATGCCGTGAGCTGATTACCTTATCCAGAAGAGAATTGTGATGATCTTTGATGTAATTATATAAAATATTGATCAGAGCATCAAGCATGTGATACTCAAAAAATATGTGTTAGTATCACATCTCTGTGTGCTGACGTGCAAATATGCACCTTGGTTTATTTTAGACTGTCCATAAGGGAATAGAGTTCTGAGCTAAAGAAAAGCAGCAGAGTTTCTTCAGCCTCTTGATTGGAAATGCCAAGATCTTGGCCTTGCAAGATGGAAAGTCTTGGCTTTTTCTCTTTTTCTCTGGAGCTGGGGATTCAGGGCTGAACTTATTGTATGTAACTGTCTATTTGCAGAAACCAAGTGGGAACTAATAATTCAGAAACTATCCAAACATCAACCTTATGCCTAGACTTTAGTGTTTTTCACCTCTTCAGCTTGGGAAAGGACATATTTCTATATTACTACATCACATACAGGTTTATAGGGAACATATTTAATGCCTTGCTAAGCATACATAGAACGTGGAGCCAATCTCACTGTACCTAAAAACCCTCTTCTTCACTAGTAGTCATGCCTAAAGTATGTCATGAAATGAGTACAGCTCAGATTCTACAACCAGCGAATTCCATCATTCCATTTCAAACACTTAGCATGAAACTCGCTAAATGGACTGACTTCTCTGTGCCCTAAATTATAGCCAACTTACCTTCCTGTTTCTCCGAGCTATAGTGAGGAAGTAGTTCATGTGATCAGGCTTTAAAATATTTGTTAGGATATGATGACTGGTAAACAATAAATATTATCTAAAACAAAAAACAAGTGTGGCAGTACTACATGTAGCACATGGATCTTTTGTTGGGAGAACACAATGACTTGTAGAAATTTACCGGGGGTGGATTGTCCTGGGAAACACTGGATCTGTCCAAGCTTGGGTTTCAGTGCTGACAAAGTGAGAAGAGAAACTAGAAATGAGCAGCAGCTGATGGAGCTCTGGCTCCCGTGGTTAGTTGTGATATTATTTTTTATGGTGGTTTCTTCCTCTTTTCTCCTCCTGGTAGAATTTAGCATATGCAAAGGTTTATCTAGAGTTCAGTCATTCTGTTTTCAGACCAGAAACACCACAGGAGATGTTGGCAGAATGTGCTGGACGTTTTTCATTTGTCCTTAATGACTCCACTAGTTATCCCTTGTGTTTCAGGAAGCTAAACTCAAATGAATTTATTTTCTGGGCAAACTCAGCCTCTGAGAGATATGGAGGCATAGTCAGAGTGTAATTCAAATTCACTCCTGATGTTCTGCATCCCAGCCCTTGGCTCTAGTGAGGCAGACCACAAAGTCCCAGTGTGTACCCTCCTTTGTGCTTTAGGCCATGGGTGGATATAAGCTCTGCAGAACATGTTTTATCACCTCCCTCCCCCTTTGGCTTTCTTATTAACCTTTCCCCAAAACTGTAGTCCTATTAGTGAATTCTCTTACACTACCTTTTGAGTGTGCCATTTGTGATGGAGTACGGTTGATCCACTGAGACTCTAAAATAAAAAAGAAAGAACATGCAATTTTGCAAGTTGTATGAACTATAAATTACTGAGAAGTGACCTTTGGACATAATGACAAGTGGCCTAGAGATAACTGATGTCTAAGAGATCAAATTTCTCAATACCAATGCTGTAGAACACAGGATGTGATGAAAATGGCCATCTGTCCACTTAATAATTGATTCCTCCTCCAAGAGTAAAATTACCTCTGGATGCTGATGCCCAGGCAAACCCAATCTTCATGACCAATATGGAATGAGTAGGTGTGACTATGATTCATATCTCTTCTCAGTTATGGCTTTCAAGAAGCAAGTGAAGCAAGTGTGGGTTTGTCACCTTCTCTTTCCCTTTCCCTTGGCTCCAGTATTCCAGAAGATGAAAATAATGCGGGCCTATTTTAGGAGAAAACTCTCCATCAACCACAGTCACTGGGGACAAACTATGAGGGAGAAATGTTTACAGTGCTGAGTGCTATTTTGAAGTTTACTAATCTTATTCGGCAGTATCATCCTAATCAATAGACTGATTGGAAATGAATTTAGGGATGAAATCCAAGCTTTCTTGTTTGGAAACCCAAAAGCTATGTCCAAGTTGGTTTGCCTAGAGTGGACTGCCTTTATCTTTGTTCTCTGAGTCATCTTTGTGCTTCATATCCTACACCAGCTGGAAGTTCACTCTGTGTACTTCATCTTCAGCATCTGCTACCATATGGGGATCAGAGCAACATTGTAATTTGACCATACCCATTTTGAGTTCAGTGCATCCTCATTTCTTCCTTTATTGAGTTATGTTTAAAGTTAAGCTTTAAAAGTTCCACTTTCTGGATGATGATGCCTCTACCCTGCACCTTAATCCCCCGTGCATCTTACAGCTGTGAAAAAGTAGTCAGTTCCATTTTTTTGTATCAACCTACTCATAACTGCAAGAGGAATTCTTTCTGTCAGACTTCTACGTAGGCTGCTTTACCTCTTCAAGGACGTTCATCATGCACGAAGAAGAATTATACAGCTCTCTTCAGTGGGACACTCCAACCTCAGAGGCCTCTCAGAAATGTCTGTGTCCTAGCAAATGTTCAGGTAGCAAATTCAAAACGCTTACTAGAAATCTAGAAGTTTTTCTGTTTGTGTTCTGTGATGAACCCAAGGTGTTTCTTCTAATCTGAGATAACCTCTTTAGAGTACTCTGTTATGCCTGATATGTTACTGGATGGATGAACTAGTAAAGGTAAAAAAGAGAATGGGCACTGGGCTCTGGAAGTAGGATATATACTCTCTCTCAAATTTGAAAAAAAGTAAAAGAAATCATAAAATTTTAATTGTTTTAGTTTTGCACTAAATGCTCAGCAAATTATCTGACAAATACTAAGAAATGTAAGAAAAAAATTGAAAAGCTAGAAAAAAGTCTTTATGCTGATGTGGCTATGTTTTCATTATTTAATGCCTATTTCTATATCTTATGGGACTTTTTACTTTTAAAACTCTATAGCACAACATATTTTCAAATTGATGTTTTTATTTATTTTCACTGTCATTTATTTAATCCATCAACCAAATGTCACATGTAATATCATACAATGAATAACTGGGTGGGCTTTAAAAGTGTTTTATTATATTTTCCCAAGTAATTACATTGTTTGGTCTTTAGTATTGACTTGTTACAAATTCACTAATTGAGGATCACTTTCCCATCTCAGATCTCCAATGTAGTACTAGCTTCAGAATCTCTTTTGTCACATAAAGCACAATTTCAAGGTTCCAGGGATGACCCAGAGTCATCACAGGCACCTCATCATCTGGCCTATCACAATATGTAAGAATACATATATTTTTCTTTGATTAGTATGAATAATTTAAGAAGCTACATCACTCACTTTTCCTCCTGGAAGAGTTGAAAAACTAGTTGGAAATATTTGTTCATTTTCTAAATTGCTCATTAAAATTAAAAATAGTTTAGTGAATCACACTCAAGAGATACTGAAAACAGGTAAGAGAGTCTTGATGTTAAGAATTCAAGGTTGCCTCGTTGGCATTATTGAGATTATTGAAAAAAAACTAGGTAAATAGATATATAAACGTAATTGCTTATTAGAGTCATAATATTGTACATTAGGATCACAGAGTTATGGTATTAAGTCTATCGTATTTGGTGTTTTCCAGTTCAAATGCATCCCAAGCTATAAGGTTCATTTGAGAGCATTTAAGCAAAGATTCTCCTTTTCCTATTAGAGTTTCAAACCTTCGTATTTCTACAGCAGGAAAGACCAATCCTTCTTCCACTCATTCTGACATCATCTCTACCCATTCCTTCCAACTGCTTTCTCAAACTCATGTCATTGTTCTGATTCTACATTTAGGAACATGGTGTGTCATGACGATGATTTCCTGTGTGTTCTGTGTGGGCTTATTAGCGACATCCATTTTCTTGGGCATCAAGTGTAAGTACAAAAGCAAATCCTCAAAGTTACCCCTTTTCATAAATACATTATGAATTATGTATAGCTGTGTTATTATGTAAAAAGTCCACATGCATAAGTGGATGAAGAAATTAGTTAAGAACTGTTTAAGTACACATACATGCTATAAAGGCACTAAGAGGAAGTTCACACAGTGAAACAGAAGAATCTGGTAAAAGAATGCAATTAATTTTAAAAATTGTCTAGAACCACTAGTAAGGATGTAGAGATGTAGTTAGTTGTGCATTGTTTCCCATGAAAGCAGGTATTTTATAGAGATATGCAGTTTTCTAAAAATAATATGCAAATTAGATTCATATATGCACATGCATTCTGCACATGTGTACACAAGGATTTCAACAAATATAACCTGAATGTTAACCAGCGATACTTGAGTGGTCATTTGCAAGGAGTATAGACTTGTAATATTCTCCTCATCTTTTTATGTCTCTGGGTTTCCTTTAATATTATATGCTAATTAAATATTAATTTGAAAACTTTATAGTGCAAAATATTTCCAGAGAGATAAGTGTTTCTTGTGCCTTTTCTGTTCTTTTTCATTTTTCAAACTAATCATTTAGGTACAACATGTGGCATCTTATACCCAATAACTTTGTTTGGGAGATTTAGAAGTATTTGGGTTCATTTCCCTAGGAAACGACATTGTTCAGTCATTATTTGTGAACCTGTTGCAAATTAACTACAATTCAAATGCCAATTAAGGTCAAGCATTTGCTTCCTACGTGGGAAGAAACTCCAAGGGGAAGTCTTATTTTTCTTTCTCTTGTCTTACTATCATCTGATGAAGTCCATGCCATCCAGAGCATCATAAATAAAGCAGAACTGACTTGAAATATAGCTCACACAATAAAGCTCATTAGAATATTAAAACTATATCTCAACTTTCTAAAAAGAAGATTATATTTCAATCCCTATATTACCAGGTTATTAATATAACAAAATAAGGAGCATTAATTTTCTACTCCTAACTTTAGGTAGTGCCCAAATCAAGTAGTTTAAAAAAAAAAAGGAAGAAATTCATTCTTCAAGTAGGTGCAGAGTTCTTAGATCTAACATCTAACGAGTTATTAATAAAAGGAAAAGCTGATGAGATGCATCTACTTCAACATAAAACTGGCTGAACACACAAGGCAGAAGGAGGAAGTAACTGCAAATCACATACCCAGTGATATAAAGAGTCGGGAAAGCTCTCAGAACTCAACAAGAAACAAAGCCTTTCAGTGATAAGACGAAAGAAAAACACGACAACACATTTCTCCAAAGAATTTAAGGAAGTATCAAGCAAGCATGAAAACAGGGTTCAATACCATCAGTCATTAGGGAAAACAGGCTATAACCACAGTGTGACACATCACACACACCAGAAAGAGAAATCACAAACCAGTGACATCGTATGTTTGATGGGTCTGAGAAGCTGAATCACTAGGTATCTTTGGCAGGACTAGTGATACAGCCTGTGGAAGAACAGGGAAATGGTTTCATCAAAGTCTGACCATTTTACAACCCAACAATTGCACCCCTGAACACTTCTCTGGAGCTTTCATTCACTAAAGCTTGAAAACACCTGTGTATAGCACCTTGATTTGTAAGAGCTAAACAAGAAAACAATCTTGATGTCCTTTGGTGAGTGAATGGTTAAACAAATGTGGTGACTAACATCAAAGAAATCCTTTCAACAATAAAAGCCAGTTGGCTATTGATTTATCCAACTATCCAGATGAATATCCAGGATGGCATCCTGAGTGGAAAAAAAAAAAACTTTACAAAATGTAAGATTCTGTTTCTATAACAATGTAATGACAAAAATCACTGAATTAGAACACGTTAGTGTTAAGGAGCAGGAAGGGCGGGAGAAGAATGAATTAGCTTCATAAAAGGGCAATGTACTGGGTCCACATGGTGGTGGAGAAATGTCCTGCCATGCTGTCATCAATGTTGATATTCTAGTGGTGATACTGAACTTCAGTTCTCAAGATGGTACCATGGGGTGGAAATTGGACTAAGAATTGATGGAATCTATTATTTCTTAAAGCTACATATGAAACTTCAACTGCCTCAAAATAAAATTCTGTGGAGGATATATTCATTATCACGATGGTAGAGATGGCTCATTACATGAATGTATGCATGAAAATGAATCAGATTCTATCATTCAATCATAGAGATATGAGGCAGCTATTCTTTTTGCATGTTTTAACAAACTGCAATAGCAGTGACCTGCCCTCACCCCACTCAATTGTTTAATATATCCACCTAACTGAAAAATAAGTGAAGGGTTGAGAGTTCAGTTCAGTGGTAGAAATCTTGCCTGGTGAGCACAGGTCCTGGATTTTGTACCGAAAACTGAAAACCACCACTGACAAAAATCTAGTGAACTAAAAGACAAAGCAAAAGAAATACACACAATGTTTTTTAAAAGTGTGAAAAAGATGATAGTAAAACACAGAAACCTGAGTACACAAAAAAGATTGGTTAATCTTGTCCAGTTGGTTAGATTGAAAAAAGTGAAGTGTTTCCAAAGAGGATTAAGTAATTGGGAGCCCTCTATTTTAGAAGCAGCAACCCCTAGTCTGAAAGCCTGGGTGGGGGAGGAGAGAGCCCTCCAGGGCCAGCACTTTCTCCTTGCTTTCTGGCTGCTATGATGTCATCCATTCTGTTCCACCATGCCCTCCCCTTCATCAGTTCTTTAGACGTTTACTATGAGTAAGAAGTGGCAGCTAAGAGAATATGGGTGGGAGTTATACTCTTTAAGTGACAGAGGAAAACATGATGGTCATCTGGGAAATGTTGACATCATACCTCATAGTTACAATGACATTAATCTCAAATATGTCAAAGTGTAAATATATCAATATAGACATAAAATTGTAGCTCCACGTGCAAAACTAAAATTACCAGGGATTTTAGCATAATAATAATAATAATTTATACTTTTTACATTAATGGTACTTTCTAGATCCAGACAAACATATTTGCTAACAATCCCATTGTTAATTCCAACTTAAATTCTACACCACAACACATCTTTTCTAGCCTTTTATCTAGAATATGCAAACTAAAATAAAAAATGGCAGTGTGTCAAAAAAGAGTAAAATATTTTCAACTGTGTAAATAAATCACTTATAGCTTATAGCTTACCAAAGTCAATCTTTGAAGCATGTGACATGCCAACAAATATCTCTAGGCACAGGACTAGTCGCTAACAGAGACTCACAAGACCAAAACAACAGGCCTTAACATTGTAGTTTATTGAGAATTTAAAAAGAAATTTAGTTTGTTACATGGTAAGAGTACAACTTAATAGCACAGAAGTAAAGATATCACCTTGAAAATCTCTTATTAGGAGGATCCTGGATGGAGTTAGGAGTAGTAGTGACCCAGGCCTGTATTCCCAGCAAATGGGAGGAGATGCAGGAGGAACAAACATGTAAGGTCATCCTTGGCTACATGGTGAATTTGAGGCCAGCATGGGATACATGAAATGCTGTCTCAAGAAAAATAGGGGGAAAAGGAGAGGTGGGTATCTGGGGGCAGAGAGCAGGTACCTTTCCCTCGCTCTCTTTCCACTATTTCTGTTTTCTGTTGGCTCAGGAATCACTGGTGTTTGGCCAGGATACTGTGCTGTCAAGGAGCCCCAGAGTCTTGCTTGGGGATTTTTATGTTTTGCTGATGATAAAAACAGAATTTTGCTGAGACTAGGCAACCTGCCTCAGCAGAAGGCATCTCTCAGGGTCTCATTAAAACTAAGGGCAAATCATCCAGCATGCTGTCATCAATAAACAATGCTGACAAGTTAGTCACATTCTGGTCCCCAAATTTTCAGTCCCAGAGTTACAAGCTACACCATTAAGTAGCTTGCATCATGTCTTTTCTGAAGGTCATCACCGTGTGAACTTGAGATGCACTGCTCAGCCTGATTCCAGACTTGCTAGGTAATTCTCACAGCACAAGAAAGCTAGTGGAGGATGTGGTATTTACAAAGGTTATAATCACACATTTCACAGACAAGGAAATACATCCAACTTGCTTACACCTGTGAAGAGAATGCCAGTCTTAAACAGAAGGAGAGCTGTAAATGCAAATAACCTTGAAATACTGTTTACAACAGCATCTATGGAGGGTAACTTAGAAATACTGAATGAAATTTAAACGTCCACAAACTTTTGATCTAGCCACTCATCTTAAAAATAGCTTACAAATGTGTAAAATGAGGTAAGACTAAGATTTTTTTTATGTGTGTGGATTTGTATGTGTGCTTACGTGTGTGTGTGTGTGTGTGTGTGTGTGTGTGTGTGTGTGTGTGTGTGTGTGTGTATGCTCATACCAGTTCGTGTAGATATGGCTGTGTGTGTGTCGAGGACAGAGAATAACCTTGAGTATCATTCCTCAGGAGCTCTCCACCATTTTTATTGCCACACGGTCTTTTTGGCCTGCAGCTTACAAGTGGAATATGCTAGCCAGCCAGGGGGGTCCCAGAAATCCAGCTGTCTTCATCTCCCTAGTGTTGGGATTACAAGCATGCATCACTACACCTAGCTTTTTATATGGGTTCTGGGAATGCAGGTCCTCAGGCTGGCTCAACAAGCACTTTATATTAACTGAGCTTTATCTCCTCAGCCCCAAAATTAAGATTATTTAAATCGAGTTTTTCCCCTTGCCATTCAAGAGAATGAGCCTTTTGAGAATACAGCCATAGTGGTTTTGCCCAGCATACATGAGACCCTAGGTTCAGTGCCCAGCCCTGCCCAACAAACAAATCAATCACTCAATTAATTTTTAAAGAAGAACCAAAGAACTGCTGAGGGAACTCATTATTGGTGAAATTATTAAGGCCACTCCACGTAGTTAAAAGGAGATTTATTTAATGGCGTCACTTAAAATTAAGGGATAGGTAGGTCGCGGGGTCTGGGGAAGGTGTATCACAGTCCACCGGTGCTCTCTGGAGCTCTGCTTGGCCCACCTCTCCAGTCCAGGGTCCCGGATCCGAGCGAGCCGCCGATCCAGCTCTCCAGTCTCCGGGCGCCTCCCTTGGCCCCGCCTTGTAGGCGTGACAGTTGCTGAAGTCTCAATGGGGGTTGGAACTTCCAGATCAAAGCTGGAATGGCTACCCACTACATCTCATCACACATCCACACAGTGGATTCCTACCCTGTTATAATGAGTCAATGAGTGAGAGTACTTTTTGTGTACTTAAAGGAGTGAATATTAAAATATACTTAATAAAATCACATGTTCAACGAGTATGTAGACAGGCTTTCACCCTTTGCATAAAAGGTTGAACAGGAATTTTATATTGATTGATTTTATTTTAATTAAAGTATCTCTAGGGAAAAATGTGTTAAAGGACTTAATAATTTTATCTGCTCTTGGGAAGTGAGACTGGGTGAGCAAATGAAAGAAATGACCAAGGTGTTTTGTTGCTTTTGTTTTGTTTTGTTTTCTGTGTGTCCTTTGTAAGATTTGATTCTTGAGTAATTTAAGTTTTAAACAAAAACCTAAAGCCAGGAGAATTACGCCCTCATCCTCACTGATAGTTTTCTTTGATCTGTGTTGGAGGATTATTTTATTGAAAAACGTCAGTGTTGATGAGAAATGTATGGTGTTGTAACAGTCTTCCAGGTGTCCTCTCTTGCAATGAATCAGCAGGAAAGACTCATCCAGCAGGACATAGCATTGCTGAACCTCACAGAGTGGCAGAGAAACTACACCCTGCAGATGAAAAACTGCCAAGCCTTGCAACAAAGATCTCCCCGCTCAGGTAACGGATAGAAGGATCAGTGTAGTTTTGCATTTTCTGTCATATAGCCTAGGCTGTCCAGAACTCATGACGGCTGGCTTTCAGCTTGTGGTGATTCTCTTGCCTCAGCCTCCTAAGTGCTGGGGTTACAGTCATGAGACATCATGCCCAGCTAAGAATAAGTGATCTCAGTGGAGATCCGCTGTGTGCAGAATCTGCTCAAAAGAAACAATTTTGTGTAGTCTGTTCTCTATGGATTACTAAGGTCTGGAGTGAGTGCTGACACAGGTCTGAAAGATGGAAAATAATGAGGACATGAAAATAGAGAAGAAGTCCTTCCCCAGGAATCTGGTTATAACTTCTCAACCACAGGGAAGCGAGATTCCAGGGCTATTAACTACTGCTTTTCTTCAGCTGTAACCTGTAATTTTCTAGGAACCAGATAGAAATCTTACTTACAGGGAAAGGACAGGTACTGACCTCCTGTGCAGCCCTAATGGCTCCTGGTTTTACCTTATCAGATTGTAATGCTACCTAAGGCATCTCCAGAGCTAATTGAAAGTCTCACTTATCAAAATACAAAGCTTTCTTAGAAACGTTTGGGGCTGTAATTCTAGAGCCAGCAGAACTGCCTGCAGGCCCATTGAGACAATTGCTTGTGGCTCTCTTTGAGGAGCCCATACCTGTGCTTGGGTATGTCTTAGTTTTGGCAGCTCAGCCTTAGGGAAGTCCACACCCACACTTTCAGATGGCTCTTACTTTTTTCCCAGTGCCTCTCTTTCACCTAACCCTCACCTTATTAAAGTTTATGTTAAAATATCTTTTATAATCTCCTGCTGTTTCAAACTGACTTGAAATCCTTTTCTGTGTCAAATAAAAAAAAAATCCCAGTTTGTCCACAGTTTCTGTTCCTAAAAGATAATCTGAACATTTTATGTTGCTGAGGGTCACAGCACTGAGCTCACTCTGTCCCTTCACAGCTGACAATCATGATGTAATTTTTGTTGCTCTGCAGTTACTTCAGCTTCTTCTACATCTTCCAATGGAATGTTGAAAACATTGAAGTTCCTAAGAAATTTAGCTAAACAAAGCTTATAGCACGATCAAGTGGAATGTGTGTGACAGCCCTATTTTCAATTCTAGCTCCAGACTTCCCAATTCATCTAATTTGGCTCTTGCTTTAGACTCAATTATAGATATCTAAGCATAAAAATTTGCTGCTGTATAGACCAGCTTCCAGCAGCTCAGGGACTGAGGGGGAGGCGTGTAGTTGGCAAACTAATCACTCATTTGACTTTTTTATCTAAGGGAGTAAAACTTAATTCTCTGAGGCTGGTGAAAAAGGAAAACACACACACACACACACACACACACACACACACACACACACACACACACACATCTTCAGGGTCTCTCTATCTTCTTCATTTCTTTCCTTATCTCTTTCCTGATATATCCCTCCTGGCTTTCTCCTGATATTTTCCCTCTATCTAACTTTGTTTTTTCCCTTACAGCTTATATACCAAAGCAAAATCTTTTAAGCAATATAAAAATTGCAATGTGGTTACATTCTATTTTTCAAATGAATGATTACAATGAATACAAGTAAAAAACAGCATGTTTCCCATTTCCCTTACATCATTAAGCATTTTACATATTACAGGTAAAAAACAAATTATTCCCAAGGATCCACATACATTTATGTCTAAGCAACTTGTTATAGATTAACGAAGTGTAAGCAAGCAAGTTATTTTTCTCTGCCAGTTCTTTTCCTGGCAGGATGCATTTTGCAGTTACAAAGAAAGGATCAAACATTTTATTATTTACTTCAAAAGGTAATTATCTCAAAAAGTAATCCTATAAAAATCTTTAAATAATCTCAAATTTAAACTTTTATATATGAAAAACAATCAGTCATTTTCACTCTGAATCCTCAGGATGCATACCCAATCATCCACACTTTTTTATTAAATCATATCTGGAAGCTGAGGTTAGAAATGGGTACAAGGAATTAATCATCACATTTGATCACCATCCTATCCTAGCAAGAAAGGTAAATCAGCCCCCAAGAGCCAGGCTGCCATTGTTTTCATTCTTTGACATCAATGAGTCCCTTGCTCAACTATTAAAAATGTGCCTTTCTAAACTTCAAATTGTTCCCCAAGATTTTCTACCTCAAAGCCACTAACACAAACATCTTAACCTAACTTTACCAACAATTTACATGTCTAAATAGTTCTAAGTGTGGTAGTTGGATCATTAATCTGCTCCAGTAGCAATGCCTGGAGAAAGGTCAATCACTGTTATTGTAAGTACTAGTAACACTGCCCAGCAGCGAGGGGCTAGAAGCCTTAGAGTCTTCATACAACTCATAGATTATGAGGGGTGTGGTGACCATGAGAGCAATAGCACAGCTATGATTAGTAACAGCACCAGGTCCTCAGAGCATGTAGTCCTTGGGGCTCTATCTCTCCAAATCCTGCCCCCAGGTGTGATTTTGCTGGCCATCCAGTAGTATCCTGTAAGTTCTAAGGCTGTTTGCTGTTCCTCCTGAAAAGGAGGCAAGGCTCCTGAAAAAAAAAAATGACCATGGAAATCAGACTATTTATCATAAAATTATTATAACATGTAAGACTCGCTTTCTTTTAAAAAATTAAGAGTTAATTCAGTTTTATCTCTTATGACTATTTTCAAGCCTAAAATTGTATTACTACTTGCTTTACAGTTTATCAACCCTTCTGTTGGTGACTTAATACTTATTGAGGAAGTTAAGTTCCCTCTAGAGGATACTATTTGAATTTTGAGTTATGTGAAAAGAAAAATCTACCATTTTTTTCTTCAGAAAAATAAAATTTATTTTTTAAGTATATCCTGCTAATCCATCTTGTTCTTCAACCTTCCAAACACCATTTCAAAACTAACTCTGCCATGATTGTCATAGTGCTCAGCATGCTGATTAGCACTGATTCCAAACACAGGCTACTGAAAAGCCTGAACGGACTCAGTATTCAGTCTTGACTGCTTATGAAGTGTTTCTCACCCCATATGGAGTGCTCCTCTCTAGTAACCAGTGTTCTATGTGTGTCTGTCTCCCTCTGTAAGACTAAGCTAGAACTTATCATCAAATCTGTGCTATTTAGTTCCTCTGTGTGCAGGTCATTGACTGTCCTTGAGTGTATTCTTTCTTAAGATATGTTCCTTAAAAAAGTACATTAAATATTAAAGCCTAATGCTTAGTTATAATGAAGTCCTAAGACATTGTTTCTTTATATGTCCAGTACACACCTACTTGTTTCCAAGCCACTCTTCGATCTCTCCCTTAAATGTGAAATATTTTCTTGCTTAAGTCTCAGAATTAAAACATCAACTCAAGGCTTACTTTTCATCCTAGTCAATGGCTCAGTGGGGGGAAAATAGATCCATTTTTTATTGTATTTTTTTATTTTATAATTTAATTTAATTTTACTTATCAGCCACAGATTCCCCTGTCCTCCTTCTTCCTGCCACCCCCTCCCCAGCACAACCCCCATTCCCATCTCCTCCATGGCAAGGACTCCCCTGGGGATTGAGCTCAACCTGGTAGATTCAGTCCAGGCAGGTCCAGTCCCCTCCTCCCAGACTGAGCAAAGTGTCCCTGCATAGGCCCCAGGTTCCAAAGAGCCAGTTCATGTACTGAGGACAGGTCCCAGTCCCACTGCCTGGATGCCTCCCAAACAGTTCAAGCTAATCAGCTGTCTCACTTATCCAGAGGGCCTGATCCAGTTGGGGGCTCCTCAGCTATTGGTTCATAGTTCATGTGTTTCCACTAGTTTGGCTATTTGTCCCTGTGCTTTTTCCAATCATGGTCTCAACAATTCTCACTCATACAATCCCTCCTCTTTCTTGCCGATTGGACTCCTGGAGCTCCACCTGGGGCCTGACTGTGGATCTCTCCATCCGCTTCCATCAGTCATTGGATGAGAGTTCTAGCATGGCAGTTAGGGTGTTTGGACATCCGGATCACCAGAGTAGGTCAGTTCGGGCTTTCTCTCGACCTTTGCCAGTAGTCTATTGTGGAGGTATCTTTGTGGATTTCTGTGGACCTCTCTAGCACTTTGCTTCTTCCTATTCCCATGGGGTCTTCATTTACTATGGACTCCTATTCCTTGTTCTCCCTCTCTGTTCTTGATTCATCTGGTATCTCCTGCTCCCCTAAGCTCTCTTTCCCTCGACCCTTGCCCTTCATTACCCCCACTTCATGTCCAGTTTGCTCATGTAGATCTCATCCATTTCTCTGTCATTGGGCGATCCCTGTGTCTTTCTTCGAGTCCTGTTTTCTAGATACCCTCCCTGGAGTTGTGAGTAGCAGTCTAGTCACCCTTTGTTTTACATCTAGTATCCTCCTATGAGTGAGTACATACCATGTTTATCTTTCTGAATCTGGGTTACTTCACTCAGCATGATTTTTTCTAGATCCATCCATTTGCCTGCAAACCTCATGATGTCATTGTTTTTCTCTGCTGAGTAGTACTCCATTATGTATATGGATCACATTTTATTTATGAATTCTTCAGTTGAAGGGCATCTAGGCTGTTTCCAGGTTCTGGCTATTACAAACAATGCTGCTATGAACATAGCTGAGCATATGTCCTTGTGGTATGATTGAGCATTCCTTGGGTATATACCCAAGAGTGGTATAGCTGGATCTTGGGGGAGATTGATTCCCAATTTTCTAAGAAAGCACCATATTGATTTCCAAAGTGGCTGTACAAGCTTGCATTCCCACCAACAGTGGAGGAGAGTTCCTCTAGCTCCACATCCTCTCCAGCATAAGCTGTCTTCAGTGTTTTTGATCTTAGCCATTCTGACGGATATAAGGTGGTATCTCAGAGTCATTTTGATTTGCATTTCCCTGATGATTAGGGATGCTGAGCAATTCCTTAAATGTCTTTCAGCCATTTGTACTTCCTCCGTTGAGAATTCTCTGTTTAGCTCTATAGCCCAATTCTTAATTGGACTGTTGGGCATTTTGATGTCTAATT